TTTGGCGGGCGTGGAAATTTGATTTCTGGCCTCTACTTGGGGTTTACACACCTGGCCTGGCCTTGGCAGATTACTGGAGTCATCTACTTGGGGTTTACCCCCCTTGGTCTTTGATTGTAAGAAGAGAGATGGCACATGTTTGTAGTTCCTAGTTTAGGAACTAAACCCTAAAAGGCGGAGCGAACGCCGGGTGGGAGCCGCCCACAAGCGGCGCGGGAGGGGAAAATAAAGGATGCGGAAGACAACCCCCGGAAACGAGTGCCGCGGTGCTTGTGCCCAAGCGGCGACGAAGACATACGACGAAACGAACCTCCGGCCGCGCCCTCGGTACAAACCCTAAACCCTAAACCCTAAATCTATATATCAAATGTATATTTAAACCTTAATGGGGTCGTAATATCGAAATGAATCGGGTTTAGGGTTTAGGGTTCTCGTAGCACAGGATTGCCTTTAAAGGCTTTCTCGTAGCGCAGGATTGCCTTTAACAGCCCTCTCGTAGCACAGGATTGCCTTTAAAGGCTTTCTCGTAGCACAGGATTGCCTTTAACAGCCCTCTCGTAGCAGAGGATTGCCGGTCGAATGCCGAGTTTGGACGGGCGCTGGATTTTGTCTAACTTTTAATACAATTTCAATGGCGAACGGCCCGGTTCGCGGCCAATCCTGGGGTGGGCCCCACGGTTGCCTTTAAAGGCCTTCTACCCTGTGGATTCCCTCTGTGTTTTCTTTCTTTTGTTCTCAAAGTCTGCTTTTTGACAAGTGGCCTTGTGGCCAAGTGGTTAAGTCGTCGGCCTTCGAGGCTCTGATGCTCAAAGGTCTTCGGTTCAATTCCTCCCTTGCTCCTTTGTGCTTCCTTTTTTTTGCGCTTTTCTTGTCTTCCTGTGGCTTGGAAAGACCAGATGACCCCAGTACTCTGCCAAGGCTAGGGGTTAAGGTTGAAACCCTCAGCCTTCTAGGGCTTAGGGTTGCCTCTGACAGGGAGGCACCAGGGAGGCAGGAAAAACATTTGGACATCCGAGAAGCGCCAGGGAGGCAGGACAGGATTCATTGGACAGCTTGCGAGGCGCCAGGGAGGCACAGCCTGCGAGGCACCAGGGAGGCAGGAAAGAGCCATTTGGACAGCCTGGGAGGCACCAGGGAGGCACCAGGGAGACTCGTCGCACAGGATTGCCGATCGAATCCCGGTTTTGGAAGGGCGCCGGATTTTGTATAATTTTTAATACAATTTCAATGGCGATCGGCCCGGTTCGCGGCAAATCCTGGGGTGGGCTCCACGGCTGGCTGCCCGTAGCACAGACTGGCCTTTAAAGAGCCGCTCGGAGCACAAGATTGCTTTTGACAGGGAGGCAGGAAAGGACCATTTGGACAGTCTGAAAGGCACCAGGGAGGCAGGAAAGGACTCATTGGACAGCTTGGGGGGGCACCAGGGAGGCAGGAAAGGATCCATCGGATAGCTTGCGAGGCACCAGGGAGGCACCAGGGAGGTAGGAAAGAGCCATTTCGACAACCTGGGAAGCACCCAGGGTGGCAGGAAAGGATCAATTGGACAGCCTGGGAGGCACCAGGGAAGCACCAGGGAGACCGGAAAGGATCAATTTGGACAGGCCTGTGAGGCACCAGGGAGGCAGGAAAGGACGAATCTGACAGCCTGCGAAGCACCAGGGAGGCACCAGGGAGGCAGCCTGCGAAGCACCAGGGAGCCTCTAGAAGAGGAGAAGAGTTGACCACGTGATGAAAAAAGGTGTATATCTGCAATGTATGGGGAACCTTGGGCGGGTGGGATGTTACCCGTGGCGACGCCTTTCTCTGAACCCTGAAACCCACTGAACCCTAAACCCTAAACCCTAAACTTTTAGGGCTTGCGCCACTTATGCGCCAACACAGTTTTTTTTAAGCAAGTGGTTTAATGGTCAGCCTGTTGGAAATCTAAATGCTTTTTGGTTCTATGGTTCTTGGGTTTTAGGTTTTTTTTAGTTTTAAGGTTTTGGGTTTTAGGGTTTGAGTCTTTGAGTTTTTTGAGTTTTAGTTTTTTGGGGGTTCAGGTTTTAGGGTTTTAGGGTTTTGGTGTTTGTGCCTGAATTTTATGTTTTTTGGTTTTAGGGTTTGAGGTTTTTCGGTTTTTGTTTTGGAGCTTTAATGGTTTTAAGCTTGCGCCTTGAGGTTAGGGGTTTAACACCTAAATCCATAACACCTTAAACGCAAAAACCCTTTGCCCTTAAATTTCAACCCTAAAGCCAGTAGGGTTCAGGAATCTTACGCGTTCAACCTTAAAACCTAACCGGTAAAATCACTAGGATTAAGGGTTCGTATATTTTTAGTTGGAAAACCTAACCGGGTTTGAGGTTTTAGGGTTGCGGGTTTTTTAAGGTTTTGGGTTTTAATGTGTTTGGGTTTGGGGTTTTTGGTTGTGGGCTTAACCCCCTAAATCCATAACACCTTAAACACAAAAACCCTTGAACCTTAAATTTCAACCCTAAAACCAGTAGGGTTCAGGATTCTTGCGCGTTCAACCTTAAAACCTAACCGTGAAATCATTAGGATTAAGGATTCCTCTATTTTTCGATCGAAAACTTGACCGGGTTTTAGGGTTTTGTTTTTTGTTTTGTGGTTTCAATTTTTTTGTTTAACTCCTAAGCCAACAAGACCTTAAACCTTTAAACCCTTGACCCCTACAGTTCTTTTAATAAGGGCGCAACCTGCTCCTCCTGGAGTTCGGCTTCGCTGTGGACATCTTCGAAGACCTCGGCTTCCTGAATTTGGACTTCAACATCTGGGACTGCCAATATAGTTCACGAGTGTCTCTGGAGCCAAAAGCCTGCAGCGATGATGTGATGCAAGTGACGCGCAATGAGACCTGTGCCTGAAATCAACGATTCAAATTCAGGGTTGAAGACGGCAGGCAGCAGCTTCTTTTTAGCGGCCACGGCGTCAAGTCTCACAAGTCGGATTCCCAGAGCTCATGAAGCCACAGGATCCCACACACTCCATGAATTTCAAATCCAATAACCGCGGATGCTTGGACCAGCTCATCGGCCTCGTCGTCAAAGCGAACAGGGAACCAATGAAATGACCAGCTCCCTTCTTGTAGAATTGCCATGGCCTCGTCAACGTGGGGGTCCGGGTAGTTCAAATCTTTAACAGCTTCGAGAATGTTTTCGTTCATGTTCCTCTCGCGCAAAATGATGCGCAAGAGCCACGGTCTTGCAGGCTCATCCCAGCGGCCTATCAAGCGACGCCACCACTGCTCGGAAAGAATTTGGCGGCGACCACGGTAGCCGAGCACATACGCCTCGGCCCTGACTTCTCCGAGTAAGCCCGGGCACTCCAAGGTTCGCCCACTCAGTGCCATGAGTGGCACGGCCACCAAACGCCAGATAATTCTTGCAGAGTAAAGGAATGCCTGGCTGGGCAACATGAGGGTTCGCGCGTCCTGCGCGGTGACCCGCTGCAAATACAGCGTTGGGACCTGCAGGCGCTGGATGAGCTTCTCCGCCGCTGCAACAGAAGCGCCCACCACTTCTGCAGGCACAAATGATTTGGACACAAGCACCACACGCACCTGTGTAGGCAAGTCAAGAAATGAAAACACCATGAACATAATGTCTGGCTTCCACCACTCAGCCATTCCCATGTGCGAGGGCGAGTGTTCTACACAAGGGCAATAGGTATGAAGCGCAAGCCTTGAATTGGAAATGGTGGCTAAACGTAAAAAACACCAGTCGACGCTTGCCACCAACCAGCCCCGGATGCGTTCGCCAGCGGCCGGCCCACGCCCAGCAGTTTTTCCGCTAGCTTGGGGTTAGCGAGCCGCTGCTGGTGAGCGTCTACAAAGACAACTTTGCACGGTGATAGCGGGCGGAGCCTTAGGAATAAAAGTAGAGATCTCGGAAGTAAACAATGCCATAGACGCCGTGCACTTTAAATTCTAAAACTGCCTTGGCTTCAATCAGCTCGTCCACAACATCATCGAAAAGCCAACGAAACAAATGGAATGACCAGGTTCCGCCCTCCAGAATTGCCATGGCCTGGCTCACATCGGGGTCCCAAGGGTTCAAAGCCGTGATTGCGGCAGGGATGTTCTCAGACAAGTTCCTTTCGCGCAGGATGCCCCGCAGATGCCGTTGACTTGCGGCCCTGTCAAAGCGACCGAATCTCTGCCGCCACCAGCGCTCCGACAGAATGCACCGCCGCTCGCCGCAGCCCAGAAAATGCACTTCGGCAATGGAGTCTCCAAGTAGGCCAGGGCATTCCAGCATCCGATCGTGCAGTTGCAGCAACGGAGTAGAAATCACGCCCCACATGGCTTTGGCTGACAAAAGAAATGCCCGGGCCCGGGGCATTGCGGCAAGCAGGGCGAAGGGCGCCGCAGAGTCAGGCTGCGCAACCAAATGAGTAGCGAGCTTTTTCATAGCTGCAACTTGCGCGGCCAATATTTCTGTAGTCACCCATGTCTTTGACGCGAGAGCGAAGCGTGCTTGTGTAGGCAGGTCGAGGTACGCAAACACATTGGTCACAATGTCTGGCTTCAACCCACCGGCAGCCGCCATGCCAACGCCAACAAATTAGGTTCCCCGTCGAAGGGGCAAGCTTGATTTATGTAGGGCTGCGCAGACACGGCCTTGAAGACCGCTGTGTTTGCTCAATTTGACACGAGGCCTGAACGCCCGAACCCTACGATATTTCAAGCAGTCCTCGCTTTCTCTTTCTCTCTCTCACACACACGCATCGCTCGCTCTTTCTTCTCCTTTGCTTCTGCGCCTATGCCTGTTCTTGCCGGCGCTTTGACCCGCGTGTGCTTTCCTGTATGGCGGCCCGAGCGTCAGAATTTGCCGGGCTCCTGGCACATAGGTGCAAGTCGGCAACCCGCGCGCACACTGGTGTAGTTCTGAGGCCCGCACCAAGTTGCCAAGTTCTTGCCTTAGAAAATGCCGATTCGCGCATGAAAGTGCAAGACCACAGTGAGCAGAGGCAGCTGTAAGGCCCGCGCGGCCTGAAATGCGCAATCATTTCCGCCGGCAATCCGGGCAAAGCCGCTTGCGTTTGCTCGGGGCTTGTCGCTCAAGCCATCTTCGGCTACACTTTCTGCAAGTATGTTCGTTGTTCTTGTGCGGAGCCCGTTGCACCGAGCAATTGAGGCAATATTGTCGCTGGCGCTTCGTCTTGTTGTTTTGTGCCTCGCAGCTGAAGATGTGGTTGCAAGCGCGGCAAGTGAACCAGCCATGATAGGTGTGAGGGTGCTTCTTGAAATGCGCTTGGCAAGCTGTGCACGCAACGAAGGCCGCGGGCATAGTGGCCATGACGGGCTCGAACTCGTTGATGTGCTTGGACACGTTGCATCTTGCGCAGGTGAGCAATTCTGCTTTCTGCAAGCATTTCAAACATTTTGGCTCACGCGCAGTCTCGTCCTCGAAGGCAAATGTGTCTAGAGCGAAGAGCGACAAAAGTTCTGCAAGATTTAAAATCAAACCGGGGCTGAGACCTTGCAGTCCTCCAAGTCCGCCAGCTGCGCTCGTGGGAAAGCAGCTTCAATTTTCTTGCGCTTGCAAGCGCTGCACGGTATCATTTTCGAAGCTCCTGTCGACAAAGCCCGCTTCTTGAGTCCTGGGCCAAGCTGGATTTTGTATAGCACTGTCTCACAGTCATCCCGCGGTAACAAAATGAAACACACATCGCTTTGGTTTCCCACGCCTTTGGCGCCTTCCTTGCACCCACTGCAGGTAGCTGAGCGGTTCGCGCGGACCAGCTCCCAATCTTTGTGCTCAAAGCAGTCGTAGGTACGAATCTGCTTGCAGGAGGTGCATGTCGCATAGGGCAGGCGCGCTTCATGAATGGCTTCCCAATCAAACTCTTCCCCCCGGAGCTTCTGCAGCAACAGCGAGGGCCCTTCGGGCGCGCCGCGTTGGAATAGCCACAAGGGAAAAGGCCTTAGGATGAGCACGTCGTCGCGATGTCGCACGCGTGACGCGCCCACCACACCAAAGCTCTTGTCCACGCGGGCTTCCACATTCAAGTCCAGGAGAGCAGCCAACAAAGTCTTGCCTTGACTGCAGTGCGCGGTCATCGCGAAGCCGGGGATAAGTGGCAGTTGACGCCTGGCCACGCCCAGCAGCGACGTCTTCCGTGCTTTGTCCAAGTGCCAAGTGCGCGCGATGGGGTAAATGGGGTAGACGCCATCTTCGTCAATACCATCCAACCTCCATGTTGCGTTGTCGAATTTCACGTACACCACAGTGGGGATGCGATCGTTGTGATGCCACACCCATGAATGGACATAGCCCTTGCTTCCTTTGAGGAGGCGTTTGTCATCGGATCTGTCCAAATGTTCTGTCAATGCCACAGGCATTCCCAGTGCCAGCGGCAATGCTCCCGGCAGCCCTTCGGTATCTTTGTCATGATATTGCAACCACCTCGTTTCGATGGAGCTGCTCACACTTGCTTTGCTGTTTGCAAAGCCTTACAAAAACACGGCGTGCGTGCAATGTGGGGTTTAGGAGGCTTGATGCTTTTGCCTGCCAAGTCGCGAGAGCTTGACGTCTTTGTCCAACGCTTGGTTCTGCAACACTGCTGCAGAAGCTTTGTCGACGGCGAAGGACCAGTGCAAGGGGACACCAGCGGCTTTGGCGAAGTGCTTGGCGCGATCTTTGTTGATCTGATACTTGGCATCATTGTTGGCGACGATGGCCGGCGCAGGCAGAAATTTCGATGTTTGGAGCCTCTCATCATCTGGCCCAGTGATGACTCGCCTGCGAGACGCCCGCTCTTCAGGGGAGAGAGTGCAGTTTTCCACGGGTAGGCCGTGCAAGTATCTATGGTTGGCTTCAGAAAGGCAACCTGCCCGAAGTTGATCGCAAACTTCGTTCCACCATTCATCCTGCAGCGCGCGGGTTGCGTGTGGGTTTATTGGGGCGTGGGCTAAAGGGCTAGCGGCTAGTGTCTTTACAGCGGTGTTGCGCTTTATGTCCTTGCAACGTTCTCTTTGGCAGAGCTCCACAACGCCCCGGGTAGACTCCCAGAGCAGCGCCAAGCCTTGCTCCTTCAAGGCGTCTGGTTGAGCGGCGTCACTTGCCCGAAGCTGTCGTGGCACGCTAGCCAAAAAGCCACCTTCTGGCGGAGGCAATTGAAAGAAATCGCCGCCCATGAGGACATTGACGCCGCCAAAGGGCCTGCGTGGGCGGTTGTGCCAGAAGCAACCAGCAAACGCAACTAATATTGTAAAGACCATGGACCGTGCTTAAAGCAGTGATCATATTGCCAGGCCTTGCCTGACTTGTCCGCCCTGGTCAAACTTGAAAGCGTCCGCGTCGGGCTTGACGGATCGAAGGCGATGATCAGTTCGAGCTAGAAGCCGCGCTCCCACCATACTGACTTCGTCGATGAACAGCCAACGCCAATATGAAATCCGCTTGGCAGTGGTAGCCGCAACCGCTCCAGCTTCACTGGCATTGTATTGGTCTGTGTTGAAGCCACAGGCGTGGTGAATTGTCTTTCCGGCAAGTGCGGACGCATTGACTGCCTGAAAAGCGACAACTTCGTAGTCGATGCCCTGCTTGTATTCAAGAAGGTTGAAAATCTCCCGCAAGAAGAGCAAACAATGCGACTTGCCTGTGCCAGGTGGCCCATGCAAAAGGTGGAGCATTGGCTCTCGGCAATATTTGTTCGCATCTTCGGCGCTGATCAAATTGTGCTCAACCAAAAGCCGGTCGACGACCAGGCCCAAGAACCGATGCTGCTCTGCATTCGTGTTCTCCTGCGCACGGGGGCTTCGAAGCCAGTCTCGCAACAAGGCCGCTGTGATGGGGCACCGCTTTCGAACAAGTGGGTCGCCTACAGCCACGCCCAGCAAGCCTGCAGCGCCCTTGTTTGCCTGGGCTGTGGCCTTGTTTCTGGAAGCTTGCGCGGACTTCTTTGCCAAAGCGTGGTCTTTGATTGTTTGCTCAGAGTCCATCGTCTTGGAAGCAATTGGCGATTGTAGCTGCGCTGGCCTTGCGCCTGGAGACGGTCGCAACCAAATCGAATTGGACAATTTGAACATTTGCCGGGTCATATCATGTAGCTTTGTGGTGCCACTTCCGTCTTGTTCTGCCTCTGCTGCGTCCAAATCTCCCGCTGCTTCCTTGGTTGGCCGGCTGCCTTTGATGTGCGTCAGCGTGGCCTCAAGCATTTCCGCTTCATCCAGTGCGAGCACCACATCATCTTCCACCCCTTCGTTGTCACTGTTCTCGACTAACCCATCCACGAGGTGGTGTTCTCTAGGCAAGCAATACGCGAAACAAAAATTGAGGACAAAGCGCTTCACCTCCTCACAGGGGTCCATGCCCAAGCATGCGTTCCCAGTGTCAGCAATAGGAAATAGTATTAAAATCCAAACCACAAACCCTATGAAAGATTTCCTGGCAGCGCGCAGCGTTTGCGTGCAATGTTTCTTTATTGCCCTGGTCCTCCGTCGGGAAGCCATGGCGCTGGACATGCATGCACAAGGCTTCGCGCCAGCTTCGGGCCCCATCAACCCAGAGTTTTTCGACAAAGGGGACGTTGGCTGATGCATCTCGTGCGTCATTGACCCAGGGAAAGAACAGCACCAGGATGCGCATAGCTTTGTCTTCTTCGCTCTTGCTGCCTGGCGCGTGAGCCCTTGAGCTAAACTTTTTTTGCCACGCATGTTGTCACAAAAACTTCACCGTGAAAGTAAAGCAACTTGCGCCTTGCGCCCCATAGATGACGGGCACGTGAGGACGTTTCCGGGGCACAACGACCCAATCACGGCGATAAGGTTGCCCGAGCTCGCTTTGCCCCAGAGGCAACCAAGAGGAGTCGGCCCCGCCTTCTTCACGAATTTCATAGTGCAAGCCGGCCACCAATTGTTTGCGTTGGGCGACCGCCTCCGCGCCCTTGGCTGTGAGCTTGGCGTGATATTTGCCGGGCATAAGAATGTCTCGCCCATAGGCTTCCGGCCTAAGTGGGTGAGTTGCCAAGGCAAAGTCGAACGCTCTTGCAAACTCACACGCGGACAGCATGTGCACCTGGCGGCGTTGCTCGCGGGTTCAACGAGAAATTGTGGCAAAAATGGACGAAATTCAAAAAAATGCATCAGGTTTCGGCGCTTTGGCCACGTCCATCGCCTCTGCGCGCTGGCCCCGTGCGCCGTACATAGTCCAGAAAGGGCACGCAATGATTGCCCTTCGGGCCTCGCAGCGCTTGTCTACGATAGCCCTGGTCACTTCCTTTGGCCATGGCTCGTGCGCCGCTACGGCGCGCAACAGCTGCAACGGGTACGCCAAAGCGATTTCGGTCAGCTGCGCTGTTTTGATGCTTTCAGCGCGGGTAGGGTCCTTCTGCGCGGCATTGAGGATCAGGTTCGTGCATTCCACTGCCCCACGGCACACGCCGCGAGCGAATAGATCGGTCGCAAGGCGCTTGCTCACTCTTGCGCCCAAATAGCCTGTAGGCTTCCCGCTGAGGTCCAAATATAATTCATTTTGGCCTTTCATCCATTCCTTGACTTCTCGCGTAGCAATCTTGAGGCGCTTGTTGGCATAATCGCATTGGTACCCAACCTCTGAACGAGGTTGCGCTGCGGCAGTCCTATGTATGATTTTTGTATGACGCGGCATGGCGTTGCAGCTCGTAAAACTAAATGTTCGCAACAAAAACTGCACCGCGCCTGCGCAGATTGGTTGATCTGTGCCTCCCGAACCAAAGTCCAAATTGGCATCTTCTGGTCACATTGCTGGTCGCAAGAAGTATTGTGTGTGATAGGTGTAATAGGGAAGCGGAAGGGCAATTGCACATCGCCATTGCACCGGAGAGCAGCAAGAAGAGCAGGATGGTTCCCATTGAGGTTCGGGTCGTTGCATGGACCCCACGGCATGCCCACCATGCTTCGTTTACTTTTGCACGGCATACCCTTTGCCCCTGCTAAGCCAGAGCAAATAAGGATAGCTTCGCTTGTAAGCCAGGCATCTCTTGGAAAGAAGCTCTTGCATTTCGTGTGGTCCTGCCACATTGCGCGAATGTCCACAACATGGCGCTAACTGATACAGATCAAAAGCAAATTGGCACGTGATCAGTAACATTGCCTCAGGAAGTCCTTGGGGTCTCGACAATGGTCCAAAGGCTGCCGTTTGCCGTTGTCGTCGGGTACATGGACGTGGTGCTGCTTGTGCTTCTGCAGGGCTTCGGCGTCTTCGGATAGATAAGCGGCAAGCCATTCTGGAGCAGGCATGGCAGCGTCGCTCTGATAGGAAGGCCTGCTTAGCATTAGGCTGGAGCCCCTGTATTCTGGCCATTGTGCTTCCACTGCGTCTCGTTCTTCTGTCCAAGATTCGGGGTCACAGTAGACCTTGCGCGTGACGTGCGCTGAATAGTCCGAATATTTTCGCAGCAGTTCCAGCAGCTGCTCTTGACTTTCATTGACCAGTTCGCTCAATGGCTTGAATTGGTGGTAACATTGTAAGAAGAACTGGCCATGTAGATGGTACGAGCCACTCTTCTGGCATTCCAGCGAGCCAAACGCGGCGTCGAAGCGACCAAACACGCCGCCTGCTGCTGTAGCGTTGCTCCCAAACGCATCGGTGCAGGGGCAATTTGAATTGGCGCAATCAGGGCAGCGCGGGCAAAGCCTGATGCCAAAAATGTGGCGAAACGCCAGCCCAACCAACGCGAGGAAGCCGTTCAGGCAGGCGAGCGGGTCTCGGGCAAGGATGGACTTCCGCTCGTCGTAATCGGGCAGGGCCTGCGGAGGGCTGAGGCCAGGTTTATGTGTTGATCCTAACAGAAGTCAAATCTTCTACGGTGTTTCGTGCGCAGAGCAGCCTGGCCTCTGCCAACGCTTCTGGCGATAATCGAAGGAAATCAATATCTAAGGGCGGCAGAGTTCTCTGGTAGAAGGCCTTGCGCTTGTCGTCGTTGATTGCCGGATCACTCTGGCGCGCCCGGGCCATTCGCAGCATGATTGTGCTGTCGCGCTCGGAAGGTGAGAACGTGAAGAAGCAAGCAAGGCCATATGGAACCCGGTAGCTATGAGTTTGATAGCGCATAGTCTTGCGAACTTCATGGGTTCCTGGTACTGTGCGGGTTCTTGCTTCTGTATTGCTCAAAACTTTGAGGGCTGCAGGTGACAAGTGCGGCGCGTGACGCAGCTTGGTGAAATCTCCAGCAATAGCTTTTTCCTCCCCATTGATGTCCACATACCTCAGTTGCATAAGCAAAAGCCACAGGGCCAAACCTATCAACCAACTACAAGCAGCTACAAAACGCGTCATGGCGGCATAGGCCCAAGTCGACCGTCTTTTTTTAAACCAGCAACCTCTCAGCCCTGCCCGCTCACGTCCAAGTGCAACCCAAAAGCTTGCCACACCTCAAGAGCTGGTAGATGTGCTCTGTGCCTTCTTGAATTTCCTCATTTGTGAGCATGCGGCGGCCGGGGCCAAACTCATTAGGGACAGAAAAGATGTGCGAGTTCTGTTGCAAGTTGATCTTGGTGCGGAATAAGTAATTCCAGAGAGTAGGCGGAAAATTCCAATCGCGCCGAAATTGAGATGCAACTTGCCTTTGCATCGCGGCGCCCCATGCTTCAACGCCAACTTCCGGTGCTTCTGGATGGCAAGCTTTCCGCTTGGAGATTTTGGCAGTGCCATCGTCCTCAAAAGCGCAAGGCCGCAAGATTAGATTGATTGAGCAAATCCCTGTCTTGGTGTAGCTACGCCGTCGTGCGTGGAAACCAAAGAAATGTGCAATATATGGTCCAATCAATCGCCGCCAAGCAGCCAACCCGCCTGCAAGCTTTTGAACATCAGGCCCAGCTGTGGCGTATGGAAACAAAAAGCAAAAGGCGATGCACCAGTAGCAGGTGTCAAACTGGTCCAGGAGCTTGTTGCCCGTGCGGATCTCCAGGGGATGCACGCCGAAGGCGCCGCGCTCGGCTTCCGATGTCATGTTTTCCTTCAACTCGTCGATGGCCGCGGCCTGGACTTCGTGTGCTTGGTGTAAACTGTGACCCTCAGCAACAACCGCTCGAGGACGCTGAGTGGAGAAGGCAGCACCTGGCGCGCTGGAGCGTGCGAGTCTGCGATTGACGAGCGCTGGAAAAGAAGCATTCGGGCCTGCAGCTGCAATGTTCGCATGCATTCCATCAGCTGGCGTGGCTGCCTTTTGTGGCTGGAGTTTGTTGGCGCCGTCGTCAACTTCGTTGATGATTTGCAGGACTTCAGGGGGAATTCCGTCTTCTGGGAGGGCTGCCGCATTGGCCCGCACCGTTTCCTCTTGCAGGCTTGTGAAGGCAGGGTGGCCCAACCTCTTCGTGTCCAAGATCAAATCCACCACTACCTGACAACGTTGCGCGCGGGCGACGGCGCCCCATCCAATGTATAAACATGAACAAAAAAGCTTTTCTGAACTGACGCCGGCTGCCTGTCTGCGAACATTTGCTTGATGGATCAATGTTTTGATCTCGTGCTCTGACGTGTGCCCGTCTTTGTTAGTCCGAAGGATCACCCGCACGACGTCGGCCAATTGCTTGCCACTGCGGGGCAAAGAGTCTGCAGGGCCGTTTGATTCCATAAAATCGTCGAGCGCGCGCAAAATCTCGTCCGTCGGCAAGGGGAAGGTGATGACGTTGCCTCTGGCGCCGTACCGGTGGCGCGCCATGTGCGCTTGCTCATCAAAAGCTGAAGTTTTCGATTGGTTTCGGTGCCGGCTTTCCATGCTCATCAAAATCATGGATGTCAAAGCTGGGCTGGCGCATACCAGCTCCATGGCCGTGACCTTGTCCTTGTAGATGCGCTTCAGGCCATAGCCTGTAAACATCTCGTTGGCGTAGCTGAGACGTGGAAGCTTGGCCTGCGTCAGGTCTTCATGGCATTGCCTGCACACAGGAAGCTCACAGTGCTCGCAGGCAATGGTCTTGTTGGCCACGTGCTCAGGCTGCGCTGTGCAGCGGTGGTCCTGACAGCAAGAAGTAACAACACCATAACCCTTCGCGGAGCCCCTCTTGCTGCGCGTGTCTCTCGTCCCTATACCGACCGTCCTCTGGGCAACACAATAGCGCTTTGTCCCCAAGTAGCAGAGTCCAATCTTCGAAGGATTCGTGGTGAGACAGTCTGGCCCCGGTTTCTGTGTTGATGATGTCGTATTTCTGCAAGTACGAGTCTAGGCCGATGAGCTCATGCACGGTCGAGAAATTCTGGCCGAAGAAATTCGCTTCCCCTTCTGGGCGCTGGCGGCGCAGTGGCTTGCGCCATTGGATATCCCCTTTGTCGCGAATCTCGTGCACATAGGGGAACACCCCGCCGCAGCACACACAGACCAAAGATTCGACCTTGTGCCAAACGGACCAGAATGCAAAAAGAAAACTTCTTTCGGAGTTGCGTGGGTTTATGAACCATAGTATGAACGACACTTGGCACGCATAAAACCCGGTTAGTCCAAAGCCTACACACAGAAACCATTTCCCCGCGCAGGCCTGTTCATCCGCCGTTGCATTTGCCAAGGATCTGAGCGCTGTGCGATCCAGAGATGCCCCTGCAAGCGGCGCTTGGCTGCGGCACTTCTCTGCGATCGCGGCCGAATAGATGCTGAACAAGGCGTCGTCCGCGCGTCCTCGGAGCATGTGTTTGGCAATTCCTTGCAAGTCTGTGGCGTGGACCTCTGCCAGGTGGTGGTGCAGTGCCTCTTCCGTTCCGTCTTGCTCGGACCAGCAGCAGCCATCGAAAGCGCAGAACACGCGCGGCCACAACGCGCCAGCGTCCTTCTCTGCCAGCGTTGCGCCTGGTGGGACAGTGGGGTGTTCTCGCAGGCGCTGCTCAGCCAAATCCTGGCAAGTTTTGCAACGCCACGCGCAACGTGAGATCAAGAGGGCGGGCGCGCCCAAAACAGAACTTCTAAATTATTGTCGCTCTACGAGCGGTCCTTGACCAAGTCCTCCACCACGCGGTGTGGGTGGGAAGATGCTTCAGCGACGCTGCCATTTGCCAGCTCTTGCAGCAAGTCAACTTCCGGGTCGGCAGGTTGCGGCGGCGCGCTCGGCGCAGTTTGCTGGGCTCCAACTGGCCTCACCGTGTGAGGTTGCGCGGCCTTGGTTTTGCTGGCGGCCTTCTTCTTCGGCTTCGCTGCGCTGAAATGAGAAGATCTCTTCGTTGGCCCAGGCGAAATGTTTGCGGCAAGGGCCGGAAATTCATCCTTGGCTTCGCAATTTGTGTTGCGGAAAGCTTTCTGAACCCAACAGCGCGTCACAAGACCATTGGAAGCTGCAGTCATTGAATTCACTCCGAGAATCTTGTTCCGGCACGGTTTCTGCTGCAACATATTCTGGGGGTGGTGGCTGTGGCCATGCGGGCGGGAATCCTGAAGGACCATCAAGCTCCACCAACGCGTCGTAGTGGTCGACTCCATTGTAGAAGATGTGGAGCATGTGGACACCGTCCTACACCACGGACGTCGCTGGCGCGCCAAACTAATTTTTCGCTCGCGCAGAAACCTGTACTGAGTGCAGGCAAGTGTCTTTGCCAGCTACGGATGGGTGACTTTGTTCATCGACCTTCACATCGCCATCGTATGGCTTCTCATGCACCATCACCCGCCTCTGTCGCATCGCGGAGTACGCAATGATCGCCATGTGTCCTCCCCAGTGGCTTTGCTCTGGGCCGCGCAAATAGTCGGCTTCTCCATGCCAGGCCTCTCACAAAGCCGAGTCCTCTTCGGCCATAATGTCCATGTGGTCAATCACCTCAGTCTTCAGCTCGGCGCCGCCGATGCCCTCGTGCAAGGCCAGGGCGTGGAAAAGGCAATTGCCGTCGCCGGCAACCTTGACCACGCACAAAGTCTTCACCTGTGTCACGTTTGCTGCCATGGATGTCCTCAAGGAACAGCGCTGCGGGTCGAACACAACCGCAAGATGAGATGAGTTTTTGCCAGAAAGAGGCCCCGTGTCCTGAAGGAGCAGCGCAAACAAAAAGCGAATTGAGATTTAAGCTTGAGAGTCAAATTGCTGCAGAGGGCACGCGGCACGCGTGAGCGAATGTTCTTTGGCGTACAAGCTAATCAAATTCATCAACGTTCGGGGCGGGCCATTATTTATTCTGCTACAGCGAGCCCTGCGCGCGTCAATGCGCGCAATCAAAGCCGGGCGTTACTGCGCCCTCTCTGCCTACATGGACGCTGGGGCACTGCCTTGTTGGAGTTCCTGTAGCGCTCCCTGCAGCCGCAGGTCCGCTGTCGCGGGCCCTTGCCCCCAATCTGCACGGCTCCACAGGAGCGTGTCTCCATCCAGCGGGCGCTGAAAACCTTCCAGAATCACTTGAACTGGGGAGGTGATTGATGAAAGGAGGCCATGTTGCTCGGCGACTTGGCGCCCCCAGTCAAGCAACGCGGCCATTTTGATATCCGCGTTGGCATCGATGTGTACTGGACGCAAGCCCTCGCCGCTCAAAGTAAAGAATTGAATCTTCAGCCGGGCGCCTTCAATTGCAAGGGAGCAAGATAGAACCATTTGAGATGCTCCTGAACGCTTGAAAATGATTGCGTGCCCAAAGTTCATATTTCCAGGCGCCTGTTGGCAATCCAGCACGCAGGCGTCGCAATCTAACCAAAGCAAATTGTACCTTGCAGCCCCGTAGGTGCCGCGGAGCATGCCCCGCAAGTATTCCAAATCTTCTGCGCTTCCTGTCGCCGCCCACGGTGAGCACATGTCCGACGGCCCCCCCAAGCAAAGCCTTCCGCTGGCAGAGCTCACAATCATGTGGCCAGGACGTAGCTACGACTCGGTAGGTCCATGGAAAGGGCCAGGGGCGAAAATCATCGAGAGAAGTATCCATGGCTCTGCAAGATCGCCTCCAATATTGATTGGTTTGAGTCTGAGGTTCAACTTGATGGCTGCAGCGCTTTGTTTGCATGCCCAGCAAGTCAAGAACGAAAAGCGAGACACATACTTGCTGATCTTTTCCGTGTGGCTGCTTGCTGACTGCTGGCCTTCTAAATCCTATATGTGAAACGGGTACTTTGGATCAAATCCCACACCCAATCTGGCAGCGTAAGCTGCTCTGGCAAAGCGCGCCGCAAGATGGTTTGCAGCTCAGCCAGGAAGTGCTCGGGGCATTGCTGCAACAAGTGATGCCAAACGTAGATGCCCAAGAGGCGCAGAACATATCCAGGTATGTTGCCTTGCCGCTGCTGGGCTGAAGAAGCCCAGGTGCAAAAGGCTGCCCAAAGCTGCAACTGGCCGCTGGGCCTGTTGCTGCCTGTCGACGCTTGTTGACTTGGCTCTGCGCGCGTTTCTCCAGGCGCAGCAGCTTGAATCCGCAAATGGGGCTGAGCCCAAGCAGGCTGCAACTGAGACAGGTCTCCAGCCACGATGACATCGACCAGGGCGTCATAGTGGGCCACCCCATCGTAGAGGATGTGCCGGATTGGCGCGTTTCTGCTGACACTCCCATGGGTTGCATCTTGGATGCTGCACGTTCCATTGACTTGGCGGGTGTGCACGAAAACTTTGCAGCCCCTCATAGCAGAGTAGCCGATTAAGGCCACGGGCCCACCCGAGTACTTGCCCAGTGGCCCCCGCAAACGGCTGGCTTCTTCGAGCCACTCTTGTGCTGCCACGTTCCCCGGCCTACACGCAGCGCAGGCATCCAAGAAATTGGCAACCTCTTGTCTCAAAGCTTCGCCGCTGCCAACCTCGTCGATGGCCAAAGCGTGGAAAAGGCAGTTGCCGTTTGACGATTGCAGCGGCACCACGCCAAGTACCTGGCACGAGCAACGCGCGAAAAATCGCCTCGTTCAAACAAACGCCTTAGAGAGACCGCAACCCTGCGTACAGCATTTTCCGGCCTTGAGGTTGGCAATGGGCTGCGAAGCCGGCATAGTGGGCGCAAGGCGTTTCCTTTATAGGGGGGCGGCCAGGTTCTTTGATCGATCAAAAGAAGCTGCGGCGGTCAAGCAGTGGTGAGCCACAGGCACACGTGCGCAAGTACTAGTTACTAGTTGTGACGTTGTCGTTCATGAGCGCCCTTTTCCTGCAGCCAACTCCACACCAGTATTTAGGCCACGCAGCCTGTCCCGCCTGACTCGTGCAAAGCGAGCCCGGTCTACCGGTCTACCATTTCCTGAATCCATGCTGGTAAAGTTGCAGCGCGTGGCAATGTGCGCCGAAGCATGCCCTGCACTTGCTCGAGAAAAGATGTTGGGCATCGTCCGAAAAGGACTGACCAAACGTAAAAGGCCAAGACCTGCAAAACATAATCGGGAATATCTTCTGCTCTTTCCGGCCTGCAGGCCCAAATTTGAAAGGTTGCCCAAATGAGCATTTGCGACATCGCGGGGTATTCTGGCTGCTGCCTGACCAGCGGCGGCTGATCATGTTGTTGTGGGCTTGGCGCTTCTTCTGGCAACGCCAACGGAGGAGGCTGCGGCCACAAATCATCAAGCTCGCCAGAGTCCATATCAGCCCAGCGCGCTCGCGGCGCGCGCTTTGCCTTTGCCCGAGGTCTTCTTCTTGCGCGTTGGTGCGCCATGGCGACCGAAACAATGGGCAGCAGTCGCAGCCCTCAAGCGTCGTCGTGTGGCCTGCACGACGACTGCCACGCACTTTGAGCCGAATTTTGCTCAGAAAGAATCACGTTGTGGGGAGAGGCGACGGTAACTTTCTGAGCCGATCCACTTAGGCTGACCGCAGCATTACGCAGGTCCAACATCCCCACCGCGTCAATGGTGTCAGTTGCCACGCCGCCTTTTTTTTCCAGCTCTTGAGCCGCGTCAGCTTGCAAGTTTCCCTGCTAATCTTGAACTCTACACCTACTAATTTAATCTTCCGGCATTTCGGCTTCGCGAAATGCAATAAGCCCGCGCACACCAAAAACATCAAAGTCCAGCAAGGCCGCCGCCTCTTCTTCTTCATCTTCATTGAGGCTGAAAAGGGCAGGGTACCATTCATAGTGCCACGTTCCTGCAGAAAGCACTCCCATAGCTTCCTCAACAAAGGGGTCTGCTTCATTGAGCTGACTCGCGGCGCTCAGTATGTCTGCAGTCAGGAATCTCTCCATCAATACTTCACGCAAGGCTGCCAGTTCATGCGCAGTGGCTGGGCCCGAGCGACCAAGCAACCTTCTGTGCCAACGCAGTGACCAGTTGTTGTTGAAGCGCCGGGGCACGCCAAGCAAATGCACGTGCGCCATCACGTCCCCAGCAAAGCCCGGCCACCCCAAGAGATGCCTGTTCAAACATAGCAAGGGGCCAGC